AAAGGAGAGGGAGGATGAAGTGGCATTCATAGCTTAGATGTATATAAAGTTTGTGCATAAAGAGCATGGTTTTTTTTTTTTGTTAGAGTGAGAGGCACAATATCCAGGTACTTTTGAGCACCTTTGCAGTCCAAGAATGTTGCCTATACTCCCGTGATGTCCATGTCTTTAATATCAGATACATAACTTTGAGAGAGAGAAATCCTCCCCCTTTCCTCTTAGATTTAATTCATTCATTTACCCCATGTATAATGTGTCTGGTGCTCGCTCGTATTTGTGAGACTCGAGTCATTTTAAATGCCTGTTGGCAGACAGTGCAGAGCAGAGCACTGGCCCACCTATTCAGAAGGCAGATATTTATAGAGGGCTTTCACATGTAGCTCCAACAACATCCTGTTAAGACACCCATCTGGGAGGGACTTATCCGTGCTGTGCTGCTGGAGGACAAGTTTTTTTCCTTTCCTTCTCAGTGTTGCTAGCTCTCATAATTTAACTGCGGGATTTGTAATCCTTGGGATTTTTGTGAATGAAGGGGTTGAGGTTGGTAAGGAAGGTCCTTGACAGTGTAGATAATTGGCTTATGTTTGAAACAGAGGATGGTGAACCAGAGAAGGAATGCACAGAAGGTGTGAAATAGCCAAAATGATGGGATATGAAAATGAACTTGCTCATATTCCTGGTGGAATATAAGCAGGGCAAGACTGCATTTGTCAAGGCTAGAGGAAAGGTCACACTAATCAGGTTGTGAGATGTCAGAGCTATAGCTGTGTGAATAGATAGAAAAGGTATTTTCTTAGACATAATTTGCCAAATTAATCTTCAAGATTTAGCCATAGCTTGGATAAAAGGTATCTAGAGAGAGGTCCAAATTGATGATCAGGTTACGAACCTGAGTGAGAACTGGATGGCCATATTGTCGACTGTAGTTGAGAGAAGGTAGGGGAGGGATTAAAAGAGCTCTTTTCTAGCCGTGTTGAACTCTTTTAGATTTCTATATGATATCAAAGAAACAAGCCAAGTTTCGGGAGAAGGAGATGGCTCCAGAGCAGGGTGGTAAATGAGTGAGTTGTCAGCAGAGAGATGGGAGCTCTGAAGTGATTATCCAGAGGTGTGAGAGAAGGAGGAAGGAGAGTCCCACGGAGTCCATGCAGAAAGGTGGCTGGAGTGGGGGGAGGAGGATATTCCAGATCAAACCCTGGAGAAGTATCTAGAGAGCTCAGAGGAAAACCAGAAGTCAAGCCTGGGAACCAGGGGAGGATGAGGTGTCACTAAGTGGAGCATGGCTGGCTCTGGTGAAAGTAGCTGAGGTTGGGCAAGGAGGAGCATGAGCACTGGCTTGGCGATTTGGTTGGAAAGAGGTCATTAGAGACTTTGGCAAGAGTGGTTTCCATGGAGCGCAAGAGGTTGAAGCCAGATTGGAAAGGGTGTGGGATGGAGCTGGACGGGGGTGGGGGGAATCTAATCTCCCTGTTGCATCTAATAGGTCTTATTTTTTAAAAAGATTTAATATTTTAATGTTTCAGTATAAATTGCTACTCACCATTTCTGCCCATGAGAGTAAGCAGTCCTAGCTTAGTGCAGTGGCAGGGCACTTTTCTGTTTTCTGTTAAGATACAAAAGGTATTTACCAAGGAACTTTAACCAGTACATCTTTATTTAGCTCCTGTGTCAGATATTTCTGCTTCTCGGCTCACTCCCCAATACACAGCGTATCTCTGTATATAGATAGCACCACTTTGTATAAACAGGAAATGTTTCTGAGATGTCTTGCTTGTTTTTTAGACTCTAAAAATACACTCTGATAAGGGCTATTGTCTGTACTACCGCCACTTCCTCTTTAGCGCCTTTAGCAGTGACACTCGGATGAGCCTTCCCTAATTAATATGCTGCACTGGAAGGGCTGGTTCAAGGAAGCTTGAATTATGTTTTCCTTGTGTAAGAAATTCCTTGTATTTTGATTACCCCTCACGACAGGACCACTATTTCAGCTCATTCTTTTCTTCTATGGGTATGTCAGACTTTCTACCTAACAGTGATGAAATAAGGCAGTCTCTTTCAAAATATCAGGCAGTGAAGGTCACAGACAGCTCTTGGGACTCATCACTATGTGCCTGTCATGTTCTTAACAGACTTCTAGCTGATACTCTTGAGAAACAGAGCGTGCACCAGTTTTTCATATCTTTTTCCCCCCTTTACTTCTCCATTATTATTCTTCCTACACCTGTTTTTAAAGAGAATGAAACATCTTGTATTCCAGGAAAAGTAGGATTTAATGGAAGCATTTGAGGCCAGTGGCCTAGATGTATAGTCTCTTCCAATTCCCATCTTTGGATCTTGCTGTTTCAGTGAGAGGCCCAAACTTCAAAGTGTAGTTCAGGCTACTGTAGATTAGTTCAGACTTTTGTGACTGCTTTGTCAAGACATAGGGAGACTGATTACTCTAGGCAGGACAGGCAGTTGAATTGCTGTGGGAACTAGATCAACAGGGAAAACTATTCAGATTTTTGCCTGTCTAGTAGCTTGAGAGAGATATCGCATTGATTACAAAAAAGTCCTTTCTCCTCTCTACCGCAGAGCTTACTACAGTTAAACGTAGCAATGCCATTAGACCTTCAAACTAGCAAATGGAGGGAAAATCAAGAAAGTCTGAGCAAGGTATTTGACGTGTAGGCTAGAGAGAAGAGTCAATGGAGGAAAAAGCAGTGAAGTGAGAGAGGAAGTCTTAATGTCTCGCCCTAGTTTATGTTCCCATGTCTAAGTCAGGAGGGGAAATATATAAGAGATTCTGGAAGAATAAAAAATCTGAACTTAACTTGCAGGAAGAAACAGATACACACCCACTACAATGAAAGATGACAATTTTAGGCATGGGCAGACATTTCTTTGGAGCAGTTTAAGAAAGGGGAAGGCGAGCTAGTACTTGGGAGCAGGTGGCAGTTGTTGGACTCAAACAACCCCATAGAGATACAGATGTGTTAAATTGTCCACCTTTGCCCCTGGATGAAGCAGGATTCAAGTTGAAGTGCTTTTGCTACATTTATAGTGCTGCAGGCTCAGGCACAAAATTGTCCCAAGGGAATGTTCCTCCATACCCAGTTACTAGCCCTACCTCTCGCTGCAATTGAGACGGTCTGTCTGTTCTGACAAGGTGAGAAGATTTGCCCAATAAAAGATACTACCCAACATTGCTTTCTTGCATATTCCTTGAACCAGCATGGGTCTGGCAACACTGACCTGCTCAAACAACATCAGTCCTACCCAGTGGGTGCATCTACACGTGACAAAAACCATGACACACAGAAAGCAGATCAGACAGCAAGTGGCAGGGAGCAGAAAGCAGAGCAGTAGACTGGGCAGGGGGTAGAGCAGCAGTCCAGGCAGGGAGCAGAAGGGAGAAGAGAAGATCAGGCAGAGGAAGGTGGCACTTGGGGAGGATGCGCAGCTTATTTGTGACACACCTGCCAAAAAGGTTGGCCCCAGTGTTATAGATGAACGGAATCAGAGTTGCATAAGCTTTCTTGAGCACGAGCTCACAATTCATGACCCTTGCCTGAGACGCTGTTCATATTTTGATCTCTTCTGTGTCTTCTCTTCCACGAGTGTCCTCTCCTAGGCATAAATCCTTGTTCCCATCTCCCTTTCTAGCTTTTGTCGTCTCGTTTTCAGAATTTTTTCCATATCATTCTAAGATCTGCTTCAAAGGAATGATTTGAATCAAATGGTACGTATGTGTTGTAGATAGGATGGGTAGCTGCAATTAGGTAACGTTCCCTGGTGCTGAAAACATACCTTTGTTCCAGCTACAGAAATGATACGACGATTATTTTTACTCCAAAAATAAATAGCCTGGATTTGCAGCCAATAACTCCTATTTTTGTAAAAAGCCTTTAATAATACCTTACCAGAGAAATGGTTCTTAAGATAAAAATCATCTTTCTTTTCGCGTAACACTTAAGGATAAATTGATTATTTTCATCTGAACAAATCGGTAATTCCAAAGATTAAAAATTGCAGAGCAGAAACAAGCTATTTCTTTGCAGATATAAAATAGTGTCACAGATTATCTTGCTATTTTTCCTTGTAAGCCTGTTCAATTTTGGGTGGTGTTTGAGATATATAGAGCTAGATAAATGTTTATGATCTGGGTATCCTCTGTTACAAGTCTTCTCATCTGGAGTTGGTTCCTGCTCAGAATAAGACTAAAGGCCCAAACGTGGCTGCACAGAGTAGACTGAACGAAAAAAAACCCTGCTCTTGCAATATCTGGCATGTAGCCTTCTGGTTGGTAATCTTTTTTTGGTCTGTCCAGTGTGACCTGTTTTAGGGGATGTGCAGACCACAGGTGCAAGCTGGGGTGTGTGGCAGTGTCTGCTTCTGTTTGGGAGGATAATGTTTAAAGTGCAGCCAGGTGGTGCACTGATGGATGCCTCAAAGTGTAATATATTGTGCTTTTTCTTACATCAGCCCTTGCCAACAGTTTTTTTCTGTTGTAATCAAAGTAGGAAAATATTGTATAGTTTTTTGGAAGCTTTTTTATGGCAGTAAACTTTTGCTGCTGCTAGAATTGGTCAACTATGCTGAGCTAAAGTACAGTGCAGTCGCACAGTAATTTGGAAAGCTTGCTATCATGGGAGCCGTTTATATTTCCTGTTGCACCATGTCTTTACAGCCAACATCTTGGAGTCCAACACAGAAAATCTTTCCTGTACAAAATCTCAGGGTAGTGCTTACGGAGTTCGCTGTACAACGTTTCTGTGCCAACAACTCTCAAGTTGCATCCATAGCAACCTGACTTTTCTACGTCCCCTGGGGCTGAAATGGACCATCTACACGGTTAACAGCAATAAACACAGACATAAATTAATGGTTCTTGGAACTGCCTTGACATGCTGTAACAATCCAGAGTTTAGTGGAAACTAGTGCTTGAACTTGATTGTAGTTTGGGCTCACATCTCCATTTAGTATAAATACGAGGAATCGGCTCTTCCGCTCACACTAGAGCTTCTGGATCAAAGAGCCCACTTAGTCTCTTGTTTCAGGGGATTCTGCTGCAGTTCCTTAATGTCAATACCATCCTGCGAAGGACAGAGAAATCTGCTAATTTAGTACTGGAAAGATGGAACTGCAAATTGAGTATGTTCCCACAGGAGAAATCATCCGTGTGGTCAGTCGGAGCGGAGAATGCAAGGCTGTAAGTCTGTGTTTCTTACTGTTCTGTTTTCACCTCCTGCTCTAGAGTTACTGTCAAGGTTACCAATTAACTTACCTTTGAGAGAGATCTTAAGATGAGCTTTGGCAGTTGCTTCATTAATAATCGCAGTCGTGATTTAAACAGACATGCTAAATTCATTAGCAATTAAATTAATGGTACTAAAAGGGAAAGCAACCGGCTGCAAATCAAGGAAATAGCAAGAGAAGTATATTTCATGCAGTGTAGTAGTCAGTCCATAGTGAACGTGAGCTGTAGTTACAATGGGGTTATCGCTGCGCAGTGCTCAGTAGATAACATCAGAATTTGGCAGAACCTTGCAAAATAATGGAGTGGGGAAAAAGATTTCAGAAAAGCTTTCAGGCAGCTTCAGGAATCACTGCCCATGTTGCCACTAGGTTCGTATGTTAGAAATGTAATGCAAAACTCATTAAAAACGGTAACGGTAGGAATGGAAGAAAGCTATCATACTTGTGAACTGGGCATTGAATCTAGTTAACGCATAATTACTGAATGGTGGTACATCCTAGACTCTTGTTTTTATGTTCATTGTAAATGGCACTCCACTGTCACTCGGCTATTTCTATATTATCCAGTGTAGAAAGCAGAGCTAAATACTTCTGAGAGAGTCCCAGTTTGTATTTTTTTAAAACTAAAATGTTTCACTTCTCAATTCTCTACCTAGTGGCAGCTGTGTGTTTTATTTAGACTATTTATGTAGAGCATTCAGTCTTCTAACTTTCTGTGTGCACATTTCATAGAAAAAGATCTAAAATAAAAGGGGCAGTTCAGAGAAGGGTTTAAGGCTTCTGCATTACTTGCCTGGATCTCTGACACTCAAGGGACAAGTGGTCAGCTTTTGCCTTAGTTTTGAGTTCTGTTCTTATTGTCAAGGTGTTCTCTAGCTACAAAATGGCGATTGGCAGTTCTGCTGGATTCATACAATGCAGCTAATTCTAGTCTGCTCTATCTGAGGTGAATGTACTTCCCTTTAAAGGAAACGGGTATTTTGCTGCTTTCCATTTCTGCATTACCCTTTGTTTGTACATACTTGAGCTACTCAGGAGACTACTGGGCAGTTCAATAGTTATTTATAAAGTTACTTGATTTAAACATGGAATTACTTAGTTTAAGTTGTGCATGTATGCCCCTATCTGAGGTACTTGGGTGCTTCCCACTAGCATACTATCTAGGCTTCTTGCAATTTTAAAAATATATTCATCCTGACAGCACACCATGAGGTTGGGAATATTATACTCTTGCCCGTAGTCCCACAGCAAACCTTTGGAACGGCTAATCGGGCCTTGGTTGCTCATAGTCTTCCACGTTTGTCCTAGCAGGTGGAACATCCTTCCTCTCTTGTTGCTTTCTGCAGTAATTAGTAAGAATAAGTTTCCATTGTTCTGGACATAGCAATCTATTTTATGTAGCCCTTGGTTTTACTGTAATTTTCTATTATTTGTGTTGCATCTATTATACATCCTTCCAATACTGATAGCAGGAGTATTTTGTGCGTGGGCCTCGCCTGGTGAAGCAACCACTAGTGTTATTTTGGCTTCCTATGATTACCTTTTCACCAAGTCATTTAAAATGCCCCCTTGAAAACTGAACAACCTGGCTATCATGCAGATTACACGTGCAAATGGGCACGGGGTGGCCCGTCTCCCCCAGAGAGAAGTGTTCCCTCCAAATTCAACCGGAATGGTGGTTCCCTTAGCAATCCAAAGGGGAGGTGAGAGAGAGAGAGAGAGGAGCTGTCATTTTAGGTATTTAAAATGAAATACTGAAACTGCATAAACCAAATTGCTGGTCTGAGAACCGCATGTGCCGTGGAGAGACTTTGTATATCGGGAACTAGAGAACAGGTTAATCAACCATCTGGTCCAGCAGTGGTTGGAGGAGTTCGAGTAGGTGGACATGCTATGTTTTCAGTAACCTTAGGTTTGTAAGTGAGAATATGTGGACCTTTCAGAGATAAATGGTTCTGGCAGAGCTTAGTTCTCCTATTTCAGCAGG